TAGCCAGGTGCTTGAACAGTAGTATACTTGATGGTAAAGTGATATTTGATTTTAAACTATATATTTTAGGCTGATGTGATCACCATATGTGACCCTGGACCACAAAAGCAGTCATAAGGGTCAATTTTTCAAAATTGAGATTTATACACCTTCTGAAAGCTGAATAAATAAGCTTTCCACTGATGTATGGTTTGTTAGGATAGGATAATATTTGGCAGAGATACAACTATTTGAGAATCTGAGGGTGCAAAAACATCAAAATATTGAGAAAATCGCCTTTAAAGTTGTCCAAATGAAGTTCTTCGCAATGCATATTACTAATCAAAAATTAAGTTTTAATATATTTACAGTAGGAAATTTACAAAATATCTTCATGGAACTTGATCTTTACTTAATATCCTAATGATTCTTTGCATAAAAGAAAAATCAATCATTTTGACCCATACAATGTATTTTTGTATGCTACAAATATATCCCAGTGACTTAAGGTTTTGTGGTCCAGGGTCACATATTACTGTGATCTTTCCTGGTGCAGTTTGATGTTTTGAAGATTTTTGATTCAATTTCTCTGTTATTGTCTTAGCTACCAGGCAACCTTCTGGATGTCTACAACAGTCCTGGCATGGTGACCCCCACCATCGCCGTCAGCAATTCTTGTCCAGCAGATCTGACTAATATTAAAAGGGAATTAACTGGTAATGATTTACTCAGCCCATCTTCTGTATTTCATTTGTTTCAGTTGTTTGTTGTGTTTATGTATCTACAATATTGTGTGGTAGTCACAATAGCTGTTTATTTTCAGACGTAGATACCAGAGCCTTCGTGAAGGAGAGGCAAAAGAAAGATAATCACAATCTCAGTGAGTTCAAAAGACACAGGCTCCAGTAGTATATTGCTTGCGTATTGTCATTACACGGCTTAGCCTCAATAAATGTTTTGCTTTTTGCAGTTGAAAGGCGGAGGAGATTCAACATCAATGACCGAATAAAGGAATTAGGGGCTATGATACCCAAATCCAATGATCCGTAAGTTTATTTCCTTTTGAAGAACTTTTTTAGAGAAACCACACATCATTTCACAAAAATATACAATACTTGTGAAATGTTTTGGACACTCTTGGCTGATTTTATGGCTTATGCTTCAAATTCGTTTTGAAGGCTGTGATCAGACTCTTATTGATTTAATTCTCTTTTTTTTTTTATTGAATGGCATGTCAGCAGCACTTGAACCACTGCTATTTTGTTTTAAAATTGACAAAAGTTCAAAACCGTTCAAAAGTTTGGGTCAATAATTTTTTTTTCTTGAAAATAAATAAAAACTTTTATTCAGCAAGCATGCATTAAATTGATCAAAAGTGACAGCAAAGACATTTTTAATGTTACAAAAGATTGATAAAATACAAATAAATGCTATTCTTTTAAAAATTCTATTAATCCAAGAGTCCTGAAAAAATGAGTCACGGTTTCCACAAAAAGTATTAAGCAACACAACTGTTTTCACCAATGATACATTTTAAAATACTTAAAATAAAAAATAATAAAAAAAGAAGTAAATTGTTATTTTAAATTGTAATCATATTTCATTATTTTAAATTGTAATATTTCACAATATTACTGTTTTTGCATAATATTTACATCTTGTCTGGTTAAAATGACAGGGAAATGCGTTGGAACAAGGGAACCATTTTGAAGGCTTCTGTTGATTATATTAGAAAGCTTCAGAAAGAGCAACAGAGGGCCAAAGAGATTGAGATGAGGCAGAAGAAACTGGAGCAATCCAACCAGGCTCTGCTGCTCCACATACAGGTATGTGATCGACTGTCATTCTGTATTACAACACAAAGTCCAAACAAGGATGTTCGCTTTTCTGTCCGTACCCAAAAACACATCATCCTTTATCGATCCCATTTAACACGTCACTTCCTCCATTATACAACATGAACATGCCATCAACATAAATGTGAACATTAAAACAGTTGTCTAGAAAACTGAACACTGTGATATCCTGAAAAAATATGGACTCTAACACCCCCTGCTGTTTGTTGCACACAGGCATTAGAGATGCAAGCTCATCATCATGGCTTCTCCACCACTATGTCTCCAGGCCTGAGTGCAGACGCTTCCTTCCTTCAGCAACAGCTACTACAAGGAAACCATTCCATGCAGCCTGGCTCTGGGGAAGGCCAATCTCAGAGCCACCTTAGCATAGATGGAGTCATGACACAGACTTCCCCTTCTCCCTTCCTCACAATACCTTCCTCCAGCACTCCGGCTGCTGCAGCAGTAAGCGGCCCTCTCGATCTGGATACGTTTAGCTTTGCGGAGCTGGACGACCCTACGGCCTCTGATCTTTACCCTGACGTGGGTTTTAGTGACATTCTGATGGATGACGGCTGCACGATGCCCACCGTCAGGTCTTCAGATCCACTCTTCTCCCCGATGTCCCCTGGAGCCTCCAAGACCAGCAGCCGCAGGAGTAGTGTGACCATGGAGGATGACTTGTGACCGAACTGACTACTATATGTATGTTTCTGTGCTTTTCCTCGTGTGGGAAGCCATGGGATGTTTTTAAGGAGATAGCTCACCCAAAAATGAAAATGCTGTCATCATTTACTCATGCTCATGTCTTTCCAAACATGCATGACTTACTTTCTTCTGTGGAACTTGAAAGAAGATATTTTGAGATATGTCTCAGTTTTGAAGACAGTGGTTACCAAAACTGATTGGTTACCAATTGTCTTTAAAATATCTTCTTTTGTGTTCTGAAATGTCCATTTTTTTGGTGGACTATCCGTTTTAGAAACACTCCATGTGTTGTGCTGTCATATCTCCATAAAATAGTTCATTAAAAAAATGTACTATAGTATTACACAGTTTTGTAGACAGTCAGTGAACCCAAAAGTTTATCCCAAATTTGAAACGCACCCAAAACATTAAGCCTTTTTGTAGCTACAATTTAGGACATTTTATCCTGTCTATGCATAGCTGTGTTGCTGTAAGGGTAGATCATGTGACGTATATTAATGTTTTAGACTCTGCACTCAGAGCATGCACGTGCACATATATATTATGATTTTGGAGTGTGGCGTGAGTAGTCGCACCAAAGGGATGTTTTGGAGTTGTATAATAGCATGAACTCATTTTTCATATTATGTTGAAAATGTTCAAGCAATATTTACTGCATATATCAGAAAATTCTATTTTTTAGCATTCTTTGCTTGTTTTACTTTCACCCAAGTACTTGCGTATTTACTACTAACTGGTTGGAAATTTCTACATTTTATTTGTTAGTTTACAACACTTCCTTTTATGTTTAGTTCATTTGACTTTCTTCAATGTTACATTGCTAAACAAATATGTGATGGTGCAGGTGCTCATACATGATTTTTGGTAACAATTTACTATAAGGTAAAATTCGTACAAATTCATTAGCATTACTGAATACATCAGGTATCATGAAAAAACTTCAAATTATTTCTAGTTTTACTAGAAGTTAATTTCTACATATACTAATACATTTTAAAATAATATATTGTAATGCATTCTAAAAATGTATAAATAAAAAGTAATTATGGACAATGTATAGTAACAATGTACAGTAGTATATTTATAAATTAACATTTAACCTAGATTAATATATGTTGTTGAAATTGTTGTTCATTGTTAGTTCATGATACCTTATGTTAATGAATTTTGCCTAAAGTGTTACAGATTTTTACGATGTGTAGAAGGAAACAAGCCACATAAATGTCATGCACAAATAGCTTTTCAGGTATAGAATTTTACAAGCTACCTCTGCCTAAAGTGCTTTTTTTAACCAGTACATCTAAATCAGCATTTTGTTAGATGCAGCTAAATACACGCTTACCAGCGAAGATAAATGTTCCGACAGTAAACTTGCACATCTGTATTGTGCTCAGAAATATGACATTAAGACTACTGCCTGTGAAAGCCAAATGAAGTTTCATCTCTGATCAAACTGTGCCTTTAGCGTAAAGGAACAAAAGTCATTTGTTTGGTTTGTAACTAAATGAATACAAATCTTCAAAGGTTTAAAAGTTGTTCTCTATTAATTCTGCAGCAATTCAAATGAATGTATAATATATAAAACAATATGATTTAAAGCTAAATGCAAACTTGTAAAATGTATTTAAGAACTTGAATGTGATTATGCAATATCGCTTTTTTCTATCACAGGCATGGACGTTTGAAGTGATTTAATTATTTGAAGTCACACAGCAATAATATTGTTTTATTGTTTCGAGTGCTGACAGTACAGTCCTTAGAAATAAGCATTAGTGTGTCTTAGGACATATTTCCACTCATTAAAACTAAATTGCCAGTTATTGTTCTGCTGCTGGTGTGTGTCATTGCCTTTACTTTCATTACATCTGTACTCAATTAAAAGGAAGGTGGTGTTCTTTTTTTGTAAACAAGGTTTTTCAAAGCACTTAATTTATAATTGAGAGAAAATGTATTTTAATTAGAATCCCTGTGTGTTGGCGGCCTTTAATTGGCTAAAATAAACTGATGAGAATAAATCTCATTAGATTGCTTGACTTTCAAATGTTTCTCTTTTTTAGAGTTTCCATTTGCATATTTACCTCCAGTATCATCTCAAAATTAATTTAAAGTGCTAGATTTGATGTGCAAGTGATCTGTTCTAGGTAAACAAATCTAGTACTTATGTATTGACTTACATCCATTTCACACAAAGGAGCTTTAAAAGATAAAGACAGCTGTTTTATATTTTTAATTCAAGAACAGAATATAAGATGCATCATATCATGAATCATTGCATCACACACAGTTAGCCAATAAAAGCAATTTATCTTCATAACAATGTAAACTAAAATTTAAGAAGTTAATGAACGTAAAAAATGTAAAAGATGATTTTCAAAGTAAATAAGAATTCTACCTTTGACAATTTAATTTGACCAAGTATTGACTCTCAAATTGCAACGAGTTAAACAAAAACGTAATATTTCAATATATTCTGGTTCAGGTGACGTAAATGGCATATGCTTTTTTCCCTCGAATGCAGTATCAAATGCAGCCTTGCAGTATCACAGCCATGATCAACCAGCAGATGTACATGCTTGTGAAATCAGCACATTACATTTGGTACATTCCATTCCAGCTTTATGTGATTGTCATGATCAGTATATAAATGAGTGTGAGATGTCATGAGCAGCTAGTGAAACAGAAGCTGAGAGAGTTCCATGCCTAGTTCCAGACACTCAGTTGTCTGTTGACAGATATCGCAAATAGAGCAGTCAAAGGTGTTTTCTCCACAACTACAGCCACAAGCCTCCATGAATTCAGTGCAGCTGCAACATGGGCAAAAATCTATACAGTCCTCCAGAGAGGAAGGGTCACAACAGCATGCGTTAGAGCAGAAGGATGAACAGATAGAGGCCACGCAGTACTGACATCCATCACCGACGGCCAGCACGCAATCCCAAAACTTGCAGAACAAACACGCCAACAGAAAGGATGCACACAGATCTAGAAGTGCAAGAAAAAAGCAAAGAATTTATTTAAGATTAAATGCATATTCTGCATTCAATACAAAAAGATAAGATCAATTGACATTTGTGGCATAATGTTGATTACCACAAGATTAATTTAAACTTATATCTGTTTTTTGTTTTTTTTAAAGAAAGCATCATGGTCATGCATTTACAATATAAGTATATTAAAATTTTAGGGTGAACTATTCCTTTAAAGGAACACTCCCCTAGAGTTAAACAGTTGAGTTTTTGACCAAAAGGTTTCTATATTTTTCCTATTTAAAACTTGACTCTTCTGTAGTTACATCGTAAGACCGACGGAAAATGAAAAGTTGCGATTCTCTAGGCCGATATGGCTAGGAACTAGATAGAAAATCGCAACTTTTCATTTTCCGTCGGTCTTAGTACACGATGTAACTACAGAAGAGTCAAGTTTTAAATAGGAAAAATATAGAAACTCTTTGGTCATTTTTGAGCGAGATGCTAACGGTCTAATCAGATTCAATGATCTATGCTAAGCTACAGCTAAAAGTGCTACCGCCAGACCCGGATATCGGCTGAATGGATTCGAAAACGGTAAAACTCAACTTTTTAAACTCTAGGGGAGTTGGAAAATGTGCCTATTTTCAAAAATAGTGGAGTGTTCCTTTAAATCATAATTTTTTTTCAGTTGTTTTAAGCATTACATTGTCGTGGCAACAAAAAAAGTTTAATAAAAAAAGTTGTAAAATTGAATGTTACTTTACACAGAAAAGGTTAGAAACTGTTTTTCACAGTAAAATCATTGCTGATGTCTTGTTGCTATACTATTAAAACAGTGATTGGCCTCATTCACTTCCATTGTAAATGCCTCACTGTAAACCAGAGGTTTTTTTAAAGAAAAGGAGGGGCGAGTCAAAATGACAAAGTTTTGTGGTAATCAACAACATTATGACACAAGTGCTGTCGACTGAGCTTAACTTGTATTGAACCCAGCATATCCCATGAATGGCTGAATCACTGACAAAATATTGATGTGGTAATCACAAATAAAACAGCTTTGCTGACAGTGTGGTCCATCATAAAACTGCTATCCTGTTTTGTATAAATTTAAGGGGCCTTTATCCTACTAATCAGCACCACACCAAAAATGTTTGTTGTGCATCCTCATCAATTTATCCTCATCAGTATGATAAAAGATGACAGGAAGAGGGAAAGCTGTTGTCAGTCGTGCTAGTGAGGATTTCAGCATCTATAATGCATAAGATGTCATAAAAAACTGAATCCCTCATTTCATTGAGTCAAATGTAATTTGAAGTGTTGCTTACCTTCAACAGGAGCTTTCAGGCTCAAACGACTCAATGTGGAGGTGGAGGACCGGCTGATTTTGCGATGGCGGTGTGTTGCTTTATAATCAGTGATATGTGACTTTTTAAGATGGTTTGTGGGTAGTTGAACACAGACAGGAAAAGCATCGGGAGGGTTTAGGACATTCTGAAATGGCTTTTTCACATCTGCTTTTACTTCTTTGATATGCACATCTGTAAAAAAAGGAGACAATAATAAAGTTATATGGATGTTAGCTTAAAAAATGAACAGTAGTGTGTTGGATATTCACCAAATGCTAACGGTTTTGATTTGCTCGGAGGAGAAATAAGACATGAGTTTTCCTTCACAGAAAGTTCATCAGTCGGTGATAGTTCACTATCCTTAAGACATGTTCTAGTAGATTCCAGGTCTTTTACATCAGACGACTCTGTTAAATAAACAAACCACTCTATTAGTTGCTCTTTTCCTCTATACAGAAGTATTAAATGAGACCAGAAAAGTCTTACCAGTGTGTTGAAAAGCTGATGTACTAAGAGCTGAACTGTTTTGCAGCTCATCATCACGAAAGCTGGATTTTGATCCAGCTGGTAACCGGCCACCATTTTCATCCTCATGGTCACAATCCATCTTTTCAAACTCCTCTCACTGTATTCGCTACAACAAGGAATAAGTGTAAAGATGTGAAAAAAGAGTGAAAAAATGCCAGAGCATTTGAACTCTTAACTATGTCATTAAATATTCAAACACAGGAAGCAAAGAAAAGAGATGTGCTATAGTCTGTGGCATATTTTAAATACTAATGGTAAAATACTGTGGAGGGAGAAAGCTAATTGATCACTTGACATGTTGATATATTATGGAATTAACAGTCCATAATGTGAACACTCTCTTACTTTTCTTGTTTTGTGACCAATATGACTACTTTTATGGATGGATATATTAATTTTAGAGTTATACATTTGATATGCACAAAGCAAATAATAACATGTGACCCTGGAGCACAAAACCAGTCTTAAGTCGCTTGGGGATATTTGTAGCAATAGCCAAAAATACATTGTATGGGTCAAAATTATAGATTTTTCTTTTATGCCAAAAATCATTAGGATATTAAGTAAAGACCATGTTCCATAAAGATATTTTGTAAATTTCCAACCATAAATATATCAAAACTTCATTTTTGATTTGTAATATGCATTGCTAAGAACTTCATTTGGACAACTTTAAAGGCGATTTTCTCAGTATTTAGATTTTTTTGCACCCTCAGATTCCAGATTTTCAAATAGGCTAGTTGTATCTCGGCCAAATATTGTCCTATCCTAACAAATATTACATACATCAATGGAAATCTTATTTATTCAGCTTTCAGATGATGTATGAATCTCAATTTCGAAACATTGACACTTACGACTGGATTTGTGGTCCAGGGTCACATTATATAAATGCAAAAAAATACAAAGCCTAGCACAAAAAGTACTGATGGAGCAAAAAGTGCCAGAGTCATTAATCTATTATTAATCTCAATCCATTTGGCAAACATATTGTGTGACAGGGATAAGAGGCATCTTAGATGTAAAGAGGGCAATAAATTTCAGCAAGCTATTAGTCCAATGTTTGCTTACCTTGAGTCTGAGAGATGCCAGGAAAACTTCTTTTCAAGATCTCAAAACCTTGTTTTGAAAAAATAAATGACAGTTCAAGCTGGCAGGATTTTAATTGAGATATACCTTAAATTGATTAATATGCAATAGATATTTTAAAAAATGTTCTATGTTGAATATTCTCATCACAAACAATTCAACATTACAAGTTATTTAACACTCTTCTGGAACCCAAATATCAAATCATTATCGTAAAAGCACACCTGACCAGCTCGTCATCACGTAAACAATATTAACTGCGGTATATTGTCGCCAAATGTATACAGATACATATATTAGCAGTAGTGTGACATTTATAATAGTTTCTTTGTCAACCTAAAACAATTTATTTAAAATAAAAAAATTAATACAATTAATTTTTTTTTAAAAGCACACACACTATGTTGCCTCCTGAATTTCCTACTTGTTTTCTACGATGGCCAAAATATACCATGTAAAATCTTAGGTATTGTTATCTTTGATCATTCAAATTTATTAAAATTCACTAACCTTCACCACCACATTCATCCCATCGTCCGTCAGATGTCAGATTGACTTTCTCTTACTTCTGCTGTAGGGGCCGTAGCTTTGCCTGATCATTATCCGTTCGTTAGCATGTCATAGTGTTGATAGGACGCACATGCACCACACCCCCTACCAATAAATAAACGCAATAACATATATTACAACAACACAACAACAACAACGACTATTATTGAAAATAATAAATAAATAAATAATAATAATAATAAATGTGCATTTATATTAATATTATTATTATTATTGTTGTTGTTGTTTTATTGTTATTATTGATGTTGTTTATTATTAAACCGTGACAGATAACACATTGGTTAGGCCTTTAGACTGTACCATAGAATAAGCTTCGTTTTTAAACGACCTAGAAAATGAACATAACTTTTCCCGATGAGGACTTTTATTATGACAAGCAACTCTCTGGCCAAACAAAACCGAAACGACGCTGTTAGCTGCAGATAAGGTAACAATTATTATGTTCGTAGTTTTGTGTGAGGAATTTTTACTGTTGTCATGGTCGAAGCATTCAAGACACTGGCGTGTTCATGCAGTGAGATATTATCTTAATTCATCTTCATTTGCTCAGTTTGATCGGATCTTCTAGAGGGCGGGGAGTAACGTTAGCGATGGTAAGTCCGCTATTATGATTTGATAGCATATTAGCTCCGTCTTGAGCAGTTTAAATAAAACAAAATACATTCTCTGAAAACAATTGTTGCAAATGAAACAACGAATTATTTCACTAATTGTGTTGTAAACAGGAGTACATTTTCATAGATTAATATCTAATCGATTTTTTGGTATACAAGTGTGCTATCGTGCTAATATGTATTGTGACTCACTGGTGTTGAACTGCGGGCAAAACATGTAACGTTACTTTTATGTTTCAAATGGATGTCTAATCTTTGTTTATTATTATTATTTTTACTATTAGTATCATTTTTGTTATTATCTATTGTTTCTAATATCGGGTGTGGGGTGCCATACAAACATTGTCTTTGAATCTCGACAGTCTTTTGAGGTTGATAAATTTCCATTAAGTGTAGCTTGTTGTAGTTCATGTTATTTGTAAACAGTTTTCCATTATTTTCCATCATTGTAGTGTCTCTGTCTTCATAGGACAGCGAGATGTCTGATATAGACCAGACTCCAGCTATGCACAACTCTGTAGTAGATGGAGAGAATGCTCCTCTCTACTGCATTTGTCGAAAACCAGACATAAACTGCTTCATGATGTAAGACAAATCTTGTTTTCACAGAAAATATGACAAAACAGTGCATGTTTCCAAACTGAGAGCTTAATTTGTATCGAATCCCTTTCCCGTAGTGGTTGTGACAACTGCAATGAGTGGTTCCATGGTCACTGTATACATGTGACAGAGAAGATGGCCAAAGCGATCAGGGAGTGGTACTGCAAACAGTGTCAGGGTCAGTGACTATTGAGTTTTACCTGAAGATATTTAAATATGCAATTGAATGAATTATATGTTGTGTTAGAATATCTGTTAATGCATTCTAAAATATTCTTCATCTCTTAGAATTGGATCCATCTCTTTTGATACGGTATCGGAAAAAGAACCGTGATAAAGATGTTGAGCCAGAGAGAGTTGAAAGACGATCCAGCACTCCAGAGTACAAGATTGATAAGCGACGAGGGTCTAAAGTTAGTGTTTCTCCAGTTTACCATCTAACTTTGCTTATTATAGCAACACTTCCTCTATTGCATTATAGGTGGGCAGTCTGACCAAAATTTTGTAAATATTACAATAATAATTTTACTGGAATTTAAAAAAGCACATTTTAAAATTGTTATTATATATTATTATGAAGATTCAAAGCTCTATATATATATATATATATATATGTCATCTTAGTTTTAGAATCAGTTCAAATCACTTAGCCATATTCTAATTATACCTTAACGTCAATATTCTATTGCATTATAGGTGGGCAGTCTGACCAAAATTTTGTAAATATTACAATAATAATTTTACTGGAATTTAAAAAAGCACATTTTAAAATTGTTATTATATATTATTATGAAGATTCAAAGCTCTATATATATATATATATATATATATATATATATGTCATCTTAGTTTTAGAATCAGTTCAAATCACTTAGCCATATTCTAATTATACCTTATAACTATCACGTCAATATACATGCATGTGTAATATAGGAATATATAATTATTACTTTTATTAAAAGACAAAGGTAAATAATATTTCTGCCCTCTAACTGCATTCCAGGTGAAGCGCTCTGCTCGTATGTGTGGTGAATGTGAACCCTGCACTAGGACGGAGGACTGTGGTCAGTGCGACTTCTGTAAAGACATGAAGAAATTTGGCGGCCCAAACAAGATTCGTCAGAAATGTCGTCTAAGGCAGTGTGTTGTCCGTGCACGGGTAAGTGTTTATTTAGGTGGTTTATTTAGTTTTTGTTTTGTTGTTAATTTTCTCTCACAATGCTTTTGCAGAAAATGCTGCGTGTTCGAGACGAGGAGTTTTCTCTGTGTGAGAGAAAGGACAATATAATGCACAGGGATAGACGATACTCCGATGATTATGATGAGAACGATATGGAGCCATATGAGCATTACAAGGACAGAAATGCGGTAATGACTAATTGCTCTAGCTTAACCACAACCGCTTAGTATATACATTCATTTGAGCTCTTGTCAGGTTATAAGACATACTTTGACATTAGTAATTTGTGAGATATGCTTATTGGGGATGTTGCTTTAAGTCCAGCACTCATAAACAAACCTCACCCTTCTCTCGTGACCGTTTTTTGTTTGTTTTTTAAGTCATGGGGCAGTGATGATGAAGACGGCCCACTTTGCAGTCCTGTCCCACGGAAGAAAGCTATAAAAGTCAAGCACGTCAAGAGGAGAAACAAGAAATTTGACAAAAAGGTACAATGAGAAACACGGTGTTGCTTAACCCTTGTGCTATGCTGACAGTCCTTACCTAGTTTGGTGTTTCCGGTCAAAAATGACTGACCATTAAAAAATTTCTTGTAAATCTCTTGTTATGCTATATTATCAAACCAAATCTTAAGCCCTATTTGGACGGGACTAGTTTTCCAGAGGGACGTTTCAGAAAGTTGTGTTGCACAGACTTATGGCGCTTTTCCACTGCATGGTATGGCACGTTATGGCTCGCTACTACCTGCATCATTAAACTTGCAACACGAGACACTAGACCCGCTAGATTAAATCAGCACAGCCAGCGAGGATCGAACGCATTTACGATGATGTCACGGCAGTAGAGGCGGCGCAACTATAACGACATGTCTATAATCCCGCCTACTCTAAAGCAGTACTAAACTGCACTGGGAACACAAACCGAGCCGAGCCGGTCAGTCATAGCAGTTTCCGTGATTTGGCTCTTCTTATTAATATTAAAATTAATAAGAAGAGCCAAATCACGGAAACTGCTACGACTGGACATTTTAACATCAGCGTCATGTAAGATACTTGTCTAGATTTCCCTGCTCACTTACATGGGTTTATTATAAGCAGCCACTTCTATAAAGTCATGTGAAGTTTATTTAAATAATGTTTTTATAATAAATTAAAATGATACTAATACATATTTCATTAGACATAAACGTTGTATGTGATGCACGCAACCACATCACATCTAGAAAACACTTGTTTTTGTCCCGTCCGAATTGGTACATGACATCACAGACGTCGGGTGATAAGAATTGAAACTCAAATGTAGTTTAGAAAACATTGTCCTGTCCGAATAGGGTTTTAGATTCGATCTTTTTGCCAACTTGTTTTCTTTCAACGAGCACAAGTTTTGTTTTGTTTTTGGAACTGACTGATCGTAGGCCTCATTTATCTGAGCTTCTGCACCTCATTATGGAATGAAAAAAAGCATTACATGTGGGTAATTTTGTTCACTCAAAAACTGAGGTGCATAAACTCAATGATCAATCGGTTCCAAAAAGAAATACAAAACCTGTTAATTTAAGGAAAACAAAGTTGACAAAGAAATTAAATAGTGTTTGGTAATATTATAGTGTAAAGAGAAATTTATAAGCAATTTTTATAGGCTGAGCGTTTTTGACTTGGAACATCACAAGTGTAACAAGGTGGGAAAAACATTCCAAAAAAGTACAAACATTATCTATCTGTTATACCCTTTGTGAGCAAAGTCAGTTAGTCCACTGCAATAACATTAAGTAGAATTTTCGGGAGAAAGAAAATCCACTACTGGTCAAAATGTCCAGAACACAACATGAAGGTTAAATAGTTCACCCAAAAATCATTTACTCACTCTCATGTTATTCCAAACCAGTATGACTAAAAAATGATTTGGCAGGCAATGGGGACCAGAAACTGTATTGTTACCAACATTCTTAAAAATAGTTTTCATTAATTGTGCTCACCTTTCACAGAAAGAGTCCCGTCGCCACAAGCAGAAACAGAAGCACCGTGATCGTTTGAGACACAGCGAGAGGGGAGATGGCAGACACGGAGGAGACATGCAACAGTGTCTGGGGCCGAACTGTATTGAGTCAGCACGTCCAAACTCAAAATACTGCTCTGAGGACTGTGGCATGAAGCTGGCTGCCAAGTAGGTTATTTCATTAAGTGCAGCCAACCAGCATGGAAGAGTCACGCAATGTTATACCAGTTTAATGTGTTTTAAGAAGATCGTATGGATTTATTGATCTGTGCAGCCGGATCTACGAGATCCTCCCGCAGCGCATCCAGCAGTGGCAGCAGAGCCCCTGCATCGCTGAGGAACAGGGCAAAAAACAGCTGGAGCGCATCCGCAGGGAGCAGCAGGCCGCACGGATGCGCCTCGCCGAGATGGAGCGCCGTTTCCACGAACTCGAGGGCATCATTGCCAAAGCCAAGCAGCAGGTGATCCAACAGGATGAGGATGTGAGTTTTCAGCAATACTTTCTCATGCTAATGTCATTGAATTTTATAGAATAACTGGATGGAATGTATGTGTTTCAGGGATTTTGTCAGGCTTATTAGGGTAAGCTAGCTAATGTCCTGTCTTGCAGGTGAATGAAACAGACAGTGAGGACACAGACC